AAGTTAAAAGAAAGCGGCTGATGTAAAAGAGTCTGTAGAATTCTTAGTTTTAAGTTCAGGAGGGTATATACCGTCACTGTGGTCAATTTTTTAAGAGTTTAAAACTATAGTCAGTTCACCTACACACTGTGACAAATGTTACAATATTAATTGCGGGAGTATTAATTAATTTTTCCTCTGTAGCAAAGTAAAATTCATAATTACGGAATTCAACTTGTAACATTTGTCATAGTGTACGTAGTGGTCCTTAGCTGACCTTAGCTGTTGATAGGACACTAAACTCTAAACATCAACACTATCCTCTGCAGAAACATTCATCGATATTGTATCGTTTAGATCCACTTGCCAGAATTTGTTCCAATAATCAGGATTTTGTAGAGAAGTGCATCTCTTTGACTCGTAACTCAGGTAGCCATGGATTTCTACAGAAAATACTTGCAACTACGCTGAGGAAATGTTATGATCGGCATCTTGTTCTGACATCTTAGTATGACATTTCATAAGCCATCATTACTGAAAGCTTGTTCCAGTGCCTTAACGTGTATGTAAACAGTTTTTGTTGAATCTCTGTACTTTGTGAGAGTTACTTTGTTTCCTTTTGTGTTGTATCTCCTATGTTTTTATGTTCATATTTAATGTGTATCTATCATAGTTAACGATATGCAATTATTGAATAGCATTGGTGATCGGCGTACATTTTGGAGCAACATGTGGACAATTCAGTATTTCAGCATGGTTGTGATCGTGTAAATAGCCATAAAGCTGAATCTGATTTTAATAGCTATTATAGATTTCCATTCATGTTATAATATGACTTCCATAACCGATACTAACAATAACATCACGGGTTTTTTTAAATCTGCGAATACTCCTGTGAATATCAGGAAGTATGTTAGGGACAATCCCTGTATGTTTGCAAAGCAATCTACAATTTTAATACATTCGCGTGTGAACGTAAACGTCTATATAACGTATCAATGTGGCCTTGAACTTAGACACTAACTGTTAGGGACCATCGCTGTATATGTGTTTAAAGAGCAACCTATAATTGTAATACATATGTATGTGAACGACTATATAACGTATTAGTATGGACTTGAACTATGACAATAACTTGGAATCATTGAGAGCATAGTTGCTCCAAAACCTCGTTGCGAATCTGGTTTGCTTTTAGTCTTGGTAACCTGTACAAAGATCACCATAGTATGCCTACTGATGGACGCTGATTACACTTGAGTTTAACGTAGGCAGATAACTAGGTTGTAAATGACAGACCAAAGTCACAAAGCATGTCTTATATCACCAATGATACAGATGACATCTATATAGCCAAAGGCAATTCGCTTTGATGGTTGTGACACATGAGTGAGATCCGGAAGTTAGTCCGGTCCTCTGATTGCAGCACACGTCACTAACAGATGCGTGCATGTGTCTTTACTTCCCCAATAAGTAATAATTTATCATCTCGTGACAAACACTTATTGAATTATCAGTTCATTATGATCACAAATATTGTTCCAATATGAATAATTAATAATGAAGTATATGACTTCCACTCTGTCATGACTCAGGACAGGACATTTTGATCTTGTTTTAGTGCGGCCATCAGAGGTCATGAGAGGTCAATGTGACAAGGTTATATCCCTCAATTTCTTCAGATTAATTTAATCTTTCTATACTTTTCTGAATATTGCTCTTTTACAGTCCGACGGATGCGACAATTGCATTGAAAGTAACAAACCAATTGTAGCAATAATTAAAAAAATGCAAACTGTGTAATTCATGAAAGTAAGATTCCAATGGTTCTTTTAATTAATACATTATCGTATTTTGGTATTTTAAATTGCTTTATTCCAAGCGTGAGAGCTAATAACTAGGAACCACGAGTGGTGCAAGAAATGCTTTTCTTTCGACCCTTGGCATTTCAGTTGGATAAATGAACCTTTCTTGTTCTTATTGATAAACAAAAGGTTTACCCGAACTGACAAAATAATACTGAAGCCCACGCCATTGCTTATGTATTGAAAAAATATAGCAACATGATCCAAACATGAATGCTTTATTTATATCAAATATAATTACCGATTAGCTAACATCAATACCGCCTTGCGTTGTAAAACATTATTAGAAATAAAAGGACAAGCACCATGTCCGAGGATCCACACGTATTCTCACATCAATCATTCTCATGGTGTGGCTGGTAACACCTCGGTCAATATGTCCACATCTTAAATCTGAACTAGAACACTGACAGGTCAGTAAGGGCCCCGTCGTGTGGCAATATATCCCCCATAATCATCAAGAAGCAATCTGCCCATATAGCTGAGCTTGACGTTTGACCCCCGGATGTACTATGATGTGAGTCTTGTTTCCTTCCACCTCCATATTTGATGGGCTAACAGAAATGTAAATACTGATGCAATACTCATTTGTTAGCTTTGATTTGTTTTATTTCACCTTATATACCTCCTCCATCAAGAGCCAGGGTCAAAGTAAGAGATCCACTTCGTCTTCGAAATTTGGACCAAAATGACCTTGACCATTAACCCAGTGACCCTGATCTTTGGTCAGTTGACTTATTCTTTATTTCCGACCAACTTTGCTACTTAATATCATAACAAAATGTTCATCAGTGAAAAATACAAAACTTGACCTTGACCCTTTGGACCCCGTAACCTGGACCTAAGGTCAGTTGACTCTGTGTTAAGTTCTGAACAACAATGCTTCATAATGTCATAACAAAATGTTCATCAGGGAAAAGATACAAAATTTAACCTTGACCTTTGACCCAATGACCTTGACCTTTGGTCAGTTGACTCCTTGTTTAATTCTGATCAACTTTGCTTCATCATGTCATAACAAAATGTTCATCAGTGAAAAGATGCAAAATTTGACCTTGACCTTTGAATCTAATTACCTTGACCTTTGACCTCGACTTTTTACCTAAGTGTATCTCTTTGTTTAATTCCGAACAACTTTGCTCCATAATGTCTTAACGAAATGTTCACCAGTGAAAACCTTCAAAATTTGACCTTGAGCCCTGACCCGATTACCTTGACCTTTGGTCAGTTGACTCCTTGTTTAATTCTGATCAACTTTGCTTCATAATGTCATAACAAAATGTTCATCAGTGAAAAGATGTAAAATTTGACCTTGACCTTTGAACCTTATGGCCTTGACCTTTGACCTGTACTTTTTACCTCAATGTGTATTTTCGTAAACTAAACATCTTGACTAAGTTTCATGTACATCGGTCAATAAATACCAAAGTTATCAGCCAGGAACAAAATTTGTGCACTATTAGACAGACAGACAGAGTGATTAATATAGGGCACCCGTATCTCCGATACGGGGCCCTAATAGTGCATACATAACCCACTAACACTGCTGAAATACGACTTTTAATGGAGACTAGTCATTGATTTTTTGATAGAGAGTCGTATTAAGTCATTGACATTTTAATGAAGAGTCGTATTCAGTCATTCATATTTTAATGAATAATTATATTTCAGTAACGGTAATAAACATTTTAATGGAAAGTCGAATTCAATCAGTTATATTTTAAATTTTAATGGACAGTCGTATCTCAGTCAGTGATATTGCAATGGAGAGTTATATTTCAATAATAAATATGTTAATGGATAGTCGTATTCAATCAGTGATATTTGAAAGGAGGGTCGTATGCAGTCATTGATATTTTAAAATGATATTTTAATGGAGTCATATTCAATCAGTGATATTTTAGTGGAGAGTCGTATTTCAGCCATTATATATTTAAGTTGAGTGTTGATTTGCATTGTAGCTAATCCTGTAAAACCACGAAGGCACTCCTTTAATAATGATTTAATAAAGCGGTTACAGTAATATTTATATCGCACGCAAGTTGAACTTTATTTTCGTCAAACATCTATATTTGGACTTTTGAATTTACATTTTGACATATGCGTCATCTCAAATGACAATCGACGTTCTTTACGTTGTATCTCTCAATATTACATTGTCATTAAGTACAGTTCTTCATAAAGCTTCATTTACCAACATTGATCACAACTGTAATTAAAATATTCCAAAGGTTTACTCGATATACAAATATAAAATGACTATTAGTTTGTTTATCATAAATTAACTCTCCACTTAGAATAAACATCTATTCATTCAAAATGTAAATCAACATATTAAAAACGCTGTTAATGAAGTCTACAGTATGAGTAGTTTTATTATAGGTGCAAGAGATCATTACAATGACCACACGACAGAGTGTCACGATCACAAAGAGCATGCGTGAATACGCTGATCGGAAGCATAATTAATAACTCTAAATATATACGTCCACGTGTATTGCATGTGTAACTTAACCTTTTCCTCAGATGTAAGGTATGTACGTATCTGTTAATCATCATAAACACCAGTTACATCAAATACACAGGTAGACGATAGCATAACACTTTTTCGAATCGACATTAATTCGTTGACAGTAGGGAACTCATATTGAAATATGATGTTTTCAATAAAACGTTCCATGATCATCTATCATGTCCTACCAACATGAATGCATCCGCAGTAACTTTAACCCTTACAGCGATTTATCATGAACAAAATCTTTTACATGTAATTTGTAAGTATGTAAACTTGTATTTTTGGTATCTGATGTGCTGAGAAAGTTGAGGATTGGATAAGATAATGTGGATATTTACTAGGGTTGTAAAACCGGACAAACTCTTCCGACCGAGACGCTGGTTAGTCGGTCAGTTTGGAAATCAAACAATAAACAAAACAAATGTTTAGTTTGTTTAGCTTACATTATATTCAACACGTATTGACAGTTATTATATATATATAATAAAAAGGGATTAAATGTCCATGTGAAGGAAGTAAATATAGAAAAAATAAGATTAACGACCGACTAAAAAGCTAGCTGCTTTCACCCTTCAGAGCCCTGTGAAGGGTGAAAGCAGCTAGTTTTTTAGTCGGTCGTTAATCTTATTTTTTCTACATATATATATATCTATACATTAATTAGCACGATAGTTTGCTTACATGTACGTATTTCAAGCTCGCAACATGTAAACGCAGGAAATACATACATGCACCACTTGGTTCAGAATAAAGCGGAATACAATATAAGTTATTTTGGCTCGAACGAGTATGCGGTAACCGTGTTCGTGAAAAGAGGCAGAGTTTGATAAACAAAGCAAGCCAATGATGATTGCACCTCTTTTAAAGTTTCACTGAAATCACCTTAGTTTTTAAAACTGTCCAGGCTTTCCATGGCGTGGTCAGCATCTCTTTTTCAATCTTTAATATAGAGTACAAAAACAACAATATACAGTCAGTCTGAATAGGGTTTTCATAACCAAAAACTCCAATTAGGTTTTCATAGGAAAGATGATTTATAGGTGTAAGTCAGGTAAACATAGGGCTCCCCATGGGTTAATGAATTCCGACTATTCGGTTATTGATTTCTTTAACTTGTTCGCGGTTTTCCGATAGAGTAACCGGTTAACCAGTTAACAATTGACAACCCTAATATTAACTTTTAACCTTATACGATGACCTTGACTTTAGGGAATGAACTACGTTACATTAAAGTAACAGGGGGCGTGCCCGTGTGTTATTTTTTACTTAGATAACTGAAGTGGTGGATGGAAACAGGCTGAAACAGTCAATTGTGAACTTTTGACATATGAACTGTAATAGTAACTCAATGGATAAAAGAAGCTTGTAATAGCACGCTACACACTCTGGTTGTGATACACCTGTGGGTCAACGTTTGTTTATATGAGCAGCTATAACGAAACAAGAGGATATACCAAGGAAATACAGACATGACCTTTGACCTGTAGAAAAACAATTCAGCAAGGCGTATGTACTGATATAGTCATAATTAAAACTATGCTCAAGAACGCTCTTACGGACGGATTGATATACGCTGGAGTATGGCATAGTTTGGGCAATTATTGAAAACAATTGTTTTTACTTAACACATCAACTGATGACAACAATATCTTAATTACAGTTCGGACAAAACCATAAAATTCACCCAATTAACAAAAAGTCATCCGTTTTATCATACTCAAGGAATTTTCAAAACGGCATTTTATAAATCAAATAAACAGCTCGAATCAAATCACATCACATTAACTGTAAATTATCTTTAGTACCACTTTTAAAATTAAGTATTTGTATTAAAACAATTATCACATTCTGATCTGACAAATCAGTTAGCTTTGATTCTAAGGCCATGCAAACTATCTGATTACAATATATTTTCCGTCTGAAAAATCGGCATCCAGGTTCTAATCAGAATGGAGAAAAAACATCTCTCCATCGACCACTCATTGGATAAACATTCTAGGAGTGCGTAGTTGGCAAACATTTTTGGTTACCCACTAGTGGGTAACACCCTGGACGTGATTTCCTTGGTCAATCTTCTGATTATGGCGTCAAGTAAATGTTGTCTCCATAGGAAACTGCAATACATATATTCTGAGAGAAACACCGGATTTTAAAATTGTAAAAGAAACACGGTAAACCTCTTGTCTATGAACTATATGAAAATCTACCAGCTCGAGTTAAGCATGGTAACAACCCATCATTTGTTACAATATTTCTAAATCAAAAAGAAGAAGAAAAGACAAGAATTAACCAAAGTGAGAATACAACCATAATTTCGACTCAAAATCGATTAAACTCAGGCAAAACATGAAAGCATGAATAAACACGGGTACCTTTGTCATGACGCGTTGGTAGGTAAAATTGGTCAAAATGCTTGGTTTAGTATTCATAAATATCAGTCCCTGTAACGTGAACATAAAAATAACACAGAACAATTGTCACGTTAGTTTTACCCTTAGTTAATCAAATACTGGTGAATCATTTGCACACTACCTTAACAGTTCATTGCATTGGCGGTTTATATTTTTACTTTAAGTGTTTCACGTTCCTACTATTGGATAAGTCTACAAGTTAGTCGCCTTGGTATTGTCTGTGGTATAATCCTTCAGTCATGGAGTGATCGTCGGTACGCCTCAGGGATACAATCTAATAAACCTGTAAAAAGATGGATGTATTTGCAATTTGCGACCCACATCGGAAATATTACTTTACAAATGATTGCCATAATTACACATTAAAGGAGAACCGAATATTTACTTTTGATCCAAGAAAGTAATTTTAAATTGTATGTATCAATTTATTATGTGATCAATTGAATGAACACATTAAAGTTATTAATCAGTTTCTGTTTTAGCAGATTTGGTTTCATAAATCACGTATTATTAATTACATACGTATATATGTACATCAAATTAATCATATATCACCTACAGTATTCTTTGAAATATGTAAATGCATGCAGATCACTAATGTGAAACATATAGTGATTTCTAGTCCGTAGGTAAATTAAGATTGTACTGAATGAATACTTACCTCTCTCTGCAAGGACCTGTCTGCTGAATAGTTTTGCGTAGTATCGCTGGAGAAAATACGAAACACATGGTTCAAGGGAGATAATTGTAACTTAGCAAACAGATAGTTTTACAAGATACGTATATTAACATTCTTGAAATAACAAACAAATATTTAGAAAGATATGAATTTATTGATAGCAACGAGATTTTTGATACATGCCTTTTAAACGAGAAATTTTGAAAAACTGGTTGATTATGCTCCATGAAAAGGTTACAGAGACTGAAATAATGTGTGACCTCTATGTGACCGGGACCTTTGGTATAATCACCTTTCAACCCTACATATATCCCTTAAACTTCATTAAGTTATCTTCAGCAAGTCAAATATTATAGCCTTGACAATGTATTTGACCTTTGTCCTCGATAGGGCCTTGGCCCTAGACGTACTGGTCAAATTGTAGTTTGCGACACACCGCCTTGTATCCTACATATATTCTTAAATTCAATCATTTGTCTTAAGAGAGTCAGAAGTTGTGGCTTCGACAATGAATTTGAACTTTGATCTCGATGTGATCTTGACCCTGTCTGCATGGACTCAATTGTGGTTTGAAATACACTGCCATTCCATCCAAAAATGGACTCAATTGTGGTTTAAAATACACTGCCATTCCATCCAAAATTTCGTGCTATAGGATCCGGAGTTTATGACCAGGACGATGATTCTGACCTTTGACATCGATGAAACTTTGTCCTTTGGCGTAGGGGCACAATAGTGGTCTACAACACACCGCATTGCCATCCTCTTTCTATTCCTTAAACTTCATTGAGTTAAATTCATCAAGTCAAATGTTATGGTCCGGAAAATGAATCTGACCTTTGCCCTTACATGTACTTTGACCTTGATCTTTGGCATACAGACCCTAGAGTGGTCCGCGATATACCTTCTTTCCATCTTAAGTATATCTATATGTATAAATGCCATTGAGCTATCTTCAGCGATTTATACGTTACAGCCCGGACTAACAATTCGGACGGACAAAGCGGCGACGATATGCTTATTTTGTTTTTGGAGGGAGGGTTGTTGTGGGGGTGGGGGCATAAAACATATCATATCAATATACCAACTGTATTCTGTGACATATTGACACATGAGAGTATCGTCTGTCTACCTGACACGTACTACGTAGACACGTGTCAGTGGTGTGGCTTTCTGACAAGTATTACGTAGACACCTGACAATGGTGTATGCCTACCTGTCCTGTATCACATAGACATGTGACAATGGTGTATGCCTACCTGTCCGTTATCACATAGACGTGTGACAATGGTTTATGCCTGCCTGTCCGGTATCACATAGCCATGTGACAATGGTGTATGCATACCTGTCCGGTATCACGTAGACATGTGACAATGGTTTATGCCTACCTGTCCTGTATCACATAGCCATGTGACAATGGTGTATGCCTACCTGTCCGGTATCACATAGACATGTGACAATGGTGTGTCCTGGTCCCATAAGCTTAGCAACCTGCTCCGCGGCAGACACATTTAGACCTGTCGACGCACCAACGAACAAACCCTCCTCGTGAAGCAGCCGAAATGTCTGTCAATTGTAATCGCATTACATGTTTACACTTTTCAAAATATACATAGAAATTATTATATATTATATATATATATTATATATATATTATAGCAATACTAAACTCTTAAATGTGTTTTCCACAGTAAATTATATTGAAAATAAACAAAAGTTACAGTTCCTAGATGATTACCATGGCGACTGCATCTGTGTCTTGTATCACCATGGCGTCGTCGATAGGTGCGTCCTTGAGATTGTTAGTGACTCGGCCTTGACCTATACCCTCTGCTATTGAACTCCCTTCTGACCTTTCCAGTTTCCCATGTTTAATGTAGCTGTACAGGACACTTCCCTACAATATCATAACAGTCCACCATCACCACATTCTGTCCATTTATGATTCAGTAGCGCTACCAAAGGTAGGAAGACTACACAAACTTGTCTTTTGTGTTCCGAAATATATGCAGAGATAAAGCAAAGCAATAGTGTCTAAAAACACTTAATAACATCACAAATGTACAACAACCATGAACCGTTTAGATAAGTAAAACTATATTTTCTCGGTCAAATATATTTATTGCCCGTTTATCTCACGATAGAAATTAAACATTTCGAACTTGATGGATTTGATTTAGTAGTGACTATCTTTCCAAGTATCAGAAGTGCGTCAGGATTATTCAGGATATTAACATAAATAAAAGATATTATACTTCAATATATATATAGTATGCACCGAGAGCACGTGTTCACAAGATATTGACAACAAGCACGTAAGGAAATTTCATAACAATAAACCATGTCAGTTTTAGGATAACATAAATCTCCTTAATTGGCGTTACAACTTTAAAACTGATGGTAATGTTGCACTTAATATCGACAGGTTTAATAAAGAGACTGAGTCATCGATTTCATTAATAGTGTTTAATTACCTGGGGGTCTGCGAGGAACACCTGTATGTTAGGATTCTGTTCCTTCAGGTAGGTACCAACACCTGTGCAAATAAATGTGACACTTTTTAAACCACCTAGGTCGACGCATCATGTTGTAATTATAATTAGACTGTGTATGTGACACTTAAAGCTAATTCAAAAGGTGCTAGGAAAAAATATGTATTGTTATATTTTAAAAGTTTAACACTTTTGAAAGCAAATCACCTAATTTAAATTATTTAGAATATTTAATATCTGATAAAGTGTAACATACACATTCGGAACTCAAAAGACCGGTGTGCATTTGCTTAAATTTGCATCAATAACAGAATTTAAGGCAATAACTGTAATAATATTAAAATAATATATACATGCATGCAGAATAATAATCCATCAATCGTCGCCCCACCTAGACTCGGTCACGGGGGTCGTCTCACAATCAACCTTACCAACCAGACATGGTCATGGGGAGCGTCTCACAGTCAACCTTACCCACACAAACATGGCCACGGGGGTCGTCTCACAGTCAACCTTACCCAAACAGACATGGTCACGGGGGTCGTCTCACAGTCAACCTTACCCAAACAGACATGGTCACGAGGGTCGTCTCACAGGCGTGAACTTACCAACACAGACATTGTCATGGAGATCGTCTCACATGCGTTAACCTTACCCACCCAGACATGGTCACGTGGCTCGTCTCACAGGCGTTCACCTTACCAACACGGACATTGTCACGGGGTCGTCTCAAGCGTTAGCCTTACCATTACAGACATGGTCACGGGGGTCGTCTCACAGTCAACCTTATCGACACGGACATTGTCACGCGGGTCGTCTCACAGTCAACCTTACCCACACATACATGGCCACGGGGGTCGTCTCACAGTCAACCTTACCCACACATACATGGCCACGGGGGTCGTCTCATAGTCAACCTTACCCACACAGACATGGTCACGGGGGTCGTCTCACAGGCGTGAACCTTACCAACACAGACATGGTCACGAGGGTTCTCTCACAGTCAACCTTACCAACACAGACATTGTCAAGGGGGTCGCCTCACAGGCAATCTGACCAACACGGACATGATCACGGGGGTCGTCTCACAGGCAACCATTCCCACCCAGACGTGGTCACGGGGCTCATCTCACAAGCGTTAACTTTAATATCAAATATGGTCATGGGGGTCGTCTCCTCGACTTATTGACCAAATCGACCGTTTATAACTTTTTGATCTTGAAATCTTTGACGCTACAAACTCTTCTATTTTCAACGGCTTTCCGCGATTTTTATTTGCAACATATCAACAGGGACGGCTCATTTCTAAGCTGTACGAAAAGCATGACTGTTTCGACTTTCTTATCGTGAATTTTCCTTTTCTTGACAGAAGCATCTTTGCTTCCCCTAATTACAGTGTTATGGTGCCGCAGTTGATTCGGTTTTCAAGAGCATATCCGAATAATAAGACTTCCGTGATTTATGTAGACTGTTGACCGATAAAATAACAGCACAGGGTTTCCAAAGATACAGGGTGATGAATACTATGGGCATTTTATGGTCGCCATCACGATCAAATTGGGGCAAAATGCTATTTTGTTATGTGATATGAAGGTCGACATATTATATTATGCTCTGTAGTATGCCTCGTTTTTGTTTTGTTTTGTTGGGGGGGGGGGGGGGGG